ACCCAGAAAATATTTAACTCATTTACATGAAAAGTCTTTTGGAAATGGAGTTCAGAGATTGCAAAGAGGCCTTAATTTTCATACAAAGTAGAGGTATTACTGCCCCCTTTTCAGTATGCCAGTTTTTTCACTTTTTGCTTTAATTGCTGATATTGGCAATTAAGGATTCTAAGATGTAATTATAAGAACTTTTGAAATGTGAGTGTGCGGGGGAAAAGTAGGGAGTAGTGGAAGCCTCTCTGGGGATGATTCAACTTTGAATAGGGTAGCCAGAGGAGTTTCGTCATGGAAGAAATGATACATATTAGAGTACTGTTTCATTAAATGTGAACATAAACTTTTAAGTAAGCATGTATTAAGTTAGGCATTTCAACCAGGTCTATTTTACATTTGATAAGACATTACTATTAACAGAAAGTTGTTTTTTTTTTTTTCTTTTGGGATATAGGAGAATTCATCTGGATATAAAGACTTGACTGGCAGTTTTATAACTATTTTGAAGCAGGTGGTTGGAGGAAAGCTCCCAGTAGATTTCAATTACCACAGTGTGCCAGCACCGTGGTTACAAATTCAGCTCTTGAGAATACTAAGACTTCTAGGAAAAGATGATCAAAGGTAAACTATTCTAAGTAAGTTTACTTAATGACCTCAGACCATATGATAGGCTTAGGCTTTAGTCACCTAGAAGTTTCCTGATGAGCCAGATTCTCGAATGCTTAATTGGCTTAATAGCGATAAATAAATCACTGTAAGAAGTACATAAACTCTTTCAGAATTGCTGGGATAATCCTGCCTGTCTGCTTATCTAAATCCTACCTGTTGTGAAAGGTATCTCTGAAGCACCATTTGCTTTGTGAAGCTTTCTTTTTTTTTTTTGAGACAGAGTCTAGCTCTGTTGCCCGGGCTAGAGTGCCCGTGGCATCAGCCTAGCTCACAGCATCCTCAAGCTCCTGGGCTCAAGCAATCCTTCTGCCTCAGCCTCCCGAGTAGCTGGGACTACAGGCATGTGCCACCATGGCTGGCTAATTTTTTCTCCATATATTTTTAGTTGTCCAGATAATGTCTTTCCATTTTTAGTAGAGACGGGGTCTCGCTCTTGCTCAGGCTGGTTTTGAACTCCTGACCTTGAATGATCCTCCTGCCTCAGCCTCCCAGAGTGTTAAGATTACAGATGTGAGCCGCCGCACCCGGCCTGAAGCTTTCTTAATTGTTCAGGGCTTGGGAAATTTTTCTCTCAAGGACCACAAAGCCTAAAATAACAATTATTTTTGTGGGCCATATGTTGTCTGTTGTATCTATTCAACTCTGCTGTTATAGCACGAAAGTAGCCACAGATAGTGCATATATGAATGAGCATGGCTGTGTTCCAAAAAAACTTTTTATGGACATTAAAACTTGAATTTCATATAATCTCCATGAAATATTATTTTTAAAATTTTTTTTAGCCATTTGAAAATGTAAAAACTTAGCTTGCCGCTATACAAACAGAAATCTGGCCAGATTAGGCCTGCAGGCTGTAGTTTGCTAACCCTTGTTATATAGTTGGATGTGAGTGCTTGAGCTTCTTAATTCATTTATCTAGATTATTCTTTTAGCCAATAACTTAAACTTTTTTATGGGTATCTTTCCAACTATATACATATATATTCTTTTGACTTTTTATTTTGCCATACCTTTTCAAACTTACAAACTGTCAAAGTTGTAAGAATAATACGAGGAGCTCCCTTATACTCTGCACCTAGATTCATCAGTTTATTTGCATTTTCTTTCTCATTCTCTCTCCCCTTCCTTCCCTCTTTCTCCCCTTCTTTCTCTCCCTCTCCCCCTCTCTCTCCCCCCTCTTTCCTTCCCTCCTTTCTCTCTCCCTCTTTCTCTCTCTGTACACATGTGCATTTGCATGTGCACATACATATTATTTTTATTAAAATTTTTTTTCTGAACTGTTGAAGAGCATATCCAATTAGATCTTGGTTCCCTTGAGAGTAAGGACCTTGGCTTGAGTCCCTGATATGTTTCTGTTTTGAGAAAATATTTGCTAATCAATATTCTGATTTGATGGATATCGTTGCTTTTTATGCCATTGGGTACCTTTTTATTCTAATTCTTTAGCCTAGCTTTACAAAGGGACCATCCTCTGGGTTGTTGCTCCTAGAAATGCCTCAACTTCATGTCAAAATTCATTTGTCTGTGAGCTCCTAATCAGCACTAATTGGGCTATATCACTCTTGGTATTACTCTGTTACTTATTTCTGTGTTTATGAATTTCTACTTCTGATTGAAACCTGAATTGAAAACCTAAAGGTTATGGAGCAGGCACATACATTAGAAATGCTTGTCCTAATTATATTTTATTTTACCTAATTCCAGCCTATCCTAACATGGAGCTCTAGTTGGAGTTCACTGGGATTCTGTTTTAAAATCAGTAATTTCATATTAATGCATCAGATCTTATTGGTCTAAAAAGACTTAATGCCATCAGATGATGTCAGGAAGTAACTTTGGAGGCATTTAGTGAATTTATTTAGTAAATTCACTAACTCATTATCTTTCTTCCTTCTTTCCTTCATGGATGAATTTGGAGAATACATACAAAGATGAGTAAGTTAGTCCTTACTTGCAAAGAGCTCAGTTGAATAGTAATTAGGCTCAATTAAATGAAGAAATAAAGAGTGGAACTCTCTTATAGAGATGTGGAACATTAGAATGTTTTCTACTTTGTTGTCCCCACTCTAATGAGATTATATGTTAACACAAATCTTATATTTTGTAGGGCATGATTAGCTCAATATTGCAAAGTAAAAATGTTATTTTATAACAGGACTCTAAAAGTTTTTAACTGAAAGAACCAATTTACTGGAAAAGTCTGTTGCATTTATGGTCTTACATATCTATTGTTTGAATATTTTCTTGCGTTTTATAGCTTTGTGCTTTTTAGGTTAACATTTAGCTAATTGTGTCCACAAATGTTTCTACATTTCGTGTGTTTAATTATGACTCTCATGCCAGACATTGGCTTTTAAAATTGAGGAACTAGACTATAATCTAGGTGTCATATTACCCAATTTTTTCAGAGGAAGGGTTGTAATGTACGCTATATGGTTATCTTCTGTGGAAGAAATGCTTACATAATAAAATGATGGATTTTAGAATATGGTTCTGGATTCTTATTATTGGATATTTATACTTCAGTGAAGATAGAATGAAAATACATGCATTTAAAATTGAATTTTCTAGCTGTATAATTGGAAAAAAGGAGAACTTTCCTGAAAGGGATGTAACATACTTGATAACTAATTGATATAGCCCCAAATTATGCTGATATTTTTGTTTGTTCTATATCACAGTTTCTCTGCGAGACCCTGCATGTATCCAATTTTGCTGGTATTTTTTTTTTTTCCATTAGTGTATTTTGAATTTGTAAAACATACAGCATACCAGCTGAGAAGTCACAGTTTTTCATATTGGCCTCTTAGAGAGGATTTTTCTCTTGTAGGCTTGGAGGCAGAGTGCTAGGGCTCCATAAGCATTGCGCTTTTATTTTTTGACAGTATCTCTCTCAGCGCAGTTGACATCTGAATGGTACAAAATATATTTCTTTATATTTAACATAAACGTAAGTTAAAATTTTCTTACTGAAGAACTTTCTCAGGGAACGACTAGTATTTGAGTACTTTAAAAAAACTATCTGGTTAAAATACAGATAATATACTGTCTGGAATAATCTTGATATGTGAGGTATTACTGTAGTTAGTAACTTAAAACAGAAATATTTTGTTGCAAAGAAAATTATAAAAGATAGTAAGTTCAACCAAACACAGACTTGTTTTGTAAACTAGGCACAAGTGAGGAAAGAATTGATTGACTTTTGTATATCTCATTGGCTAACTATTAATAATTAACTTTGATAAAGCAGGAAATTCAGATCATGAAAAAGAGCAAATGAAATCTTTAAGAAGTGAAATTTGCAAACTTCATAAAATTAATTTCTTTCACTTCTGTAGATCCTCACTTTTAAAGAGAGAGAAGTTTGAAAAACTATGTTTTTATTGGGGTAGAATGCTGTAATTCCACTGCAAATAAAATATCTTTTAAACAGGACAAGTGAATTAATGTATGATGTTCTTGATGAATCCTTACGAAGAGCTGAGTTAAATCACAATGTCACATATGGTAGGTAATATGTGTAAACACTACCCTACTGACTAATGGTGTTTTTTAGTATTGCAGCTAAATCTGAGTTAGAATACTGTAAATTTCAATAGAGTTTTATACACTAATTTTAAGGTGGTTCTTTGGGTTATTATTTTTTTCAATGTAAGTGTTTAATAACTAATAGCAATAATGTGAAATTATGGCATGTTCTAAATGTTGACCTAAATTTATTATAATTGTCTTTTTATTGAAAACATTTATCAAGTATCTAATTGTGAAGATAGTAGATTTGTTCCATATTTGGTGAAAGTTTACAGTATTTGAGGATAATTCTTAGATCAGTCAACTAGTTGTCAAATATTTATCAAATTTCTGTTTTTTGTCAGGCCCTGTGCAAGGTGCTTAGAGTACAGCAGTGAATAAAACAATATTATCATGGGGCTTACAGACCAGATGAATGGAAAGGGACAGGCGTTAAATTAATGTTACAAAAGAAAATTACCGGGTGTGGTGGAGAATACAGCAGCTAGTCATAGGTGAGGGGTAGAACAAGGAAGTTTTTCCTGAGAAAGTGCTATTCAGGAAGACATCTGAAGGATGAATAGGATATAGATAGAAATATGTAGAATAAGAATGTACTATTTTGTGGGCCAGGTGCGGTGGCTTACGCCTGTAATCCTAGCTCTCTGGGAGGCCGAGGCGGGCGGATTGTTTGAGCTCAGGAGTTCGAAACCAGCCTGAGCAAGAGCGAGACCCCGTCTCTACTAAAAATAGAAAGAAATTAATTGAACAACTAAAATTAGCCGGGCATGGTGGCGCATGCCTGTAGTCCCAGCTACTCGGGAGGCTGAGGCAGGAGGATCGCTTGAGCCCAGGAGTTTGAGGTTTCTGTGAGCTAGGATGATGCCACGGCACTCTAGCCCGGGCAACACAGTGAGACTCTGTCTCAAAAAACAAAAAAAAAGAATGTACTATTTTGTGAGGAGACAATAAACCATTCTATACAATTTTTAAAAATTAGTGGTGGGAGACAAGAGTAAGTTGGGGGAAGAGGGTAGAGAACTGAGAAAGTAACCAAAAAAACTTCCAATTTTCACAGCCAGAGGGAGGAACTATTCTATTTGATCTGTCTGAGAAAGCTCAGTGAAAAAATTGAGATTTTTTTGGAACTATTTAAAAGACGGAAGTAAAACAATTTGAATTTTGCATGCTTTTGAGAAGAGCAGTAGAAAAGGCATCGAGACATAGAACTCAAATGAGAAGTCATTTCTTAATCTGGTAAAATACCATGAAGTAGGGGATAAAGAGCATTACTTGTTCTTTCAGACAATGTTAAACTGTGAATTTTTGAGAACACTGGTTGCAGAAGTGTAGGGTAGACCAGAGGGCAGAAATTGAACTAGGTTAACTGAAATAAAATGTGACTGACAAAGATACAGTAGGAATAAGGAGAAAGGATTACATGCATGAGACCAGTACAGGAAAAATAATGTACATGGTAGTGATTTGGGATGGTAAACATTAAAGTATAGACTAATATTTTGCTTGTGTAAATGATAGCTAAGGCAATAAAAGGTGCTTTATTTATTTGTTCAACCAGTATTTATTGAATGCCTATGAAACAAAAACTTGATTTTGTTTTAAACTAGGTACAGATTGAGGAAAGAGTTGATTGACGTAATGTATTCCTCCATGCTAAATGTGGAAGGTAAAAGGAAGAATAAGGTAGACACAGGCCCTGTCCTTATGAGTGTACCATGTAAAAAACAGTTGATATTATCGAGATTCCTGCTATTCAGTGAGAATAAGGGTCCATAGATGAGGGTGACTATTATTGAGACAGGTGATTTGGCTAGGAGCTGTCAGAAATGTCAGAACTTTTCCAGATAGTTAATTTAGCAAGTTAGAATGTTTTGTTTGCGATAGAATCAGTGTCCAGGATAAGGGTTTGAAAGGCTCTCAAGAAATTCTGTTTAAAAATCAGTTAAGAATCTGCTTTTTTTCCTTACAGAAAGTTTTTTTTTTTTTTAAATAATTGACATTTCAGCTTTAATTTTTTTATTTTTTTGAATAGGTAATATATGCACATGGTTCAAAATTCAAAAGGTACAAAGGGTATACAATGAACAGTAAGTCTCCCTTCCACCCTTATCACCCACCACCCAATTCCCCTTCCTAGAGATAACAACTGTTATCTGTTCCTTTTGATTTGGAAAATACTGTATAGCTGAGGAAATATTTTTTAATGTTCTCTACTAGGACTCTTCTTTTATTAAAATTGCTTGAACCCACACCAGCAATTTGTTTCTTTGCAGGCCGTTGGTCCAGTGTTTCACCTTGCCACAGAAACCTTATTGTTTCTGTTGTTTTGTTTGCATTATTTAGCTTTTCATAGTTATGCCTTCCCCCCATATTTGTATTGGTACAGTTTATAGCTTATGTTGATTATACCAGTGGCAAGAGTATTCTCTAGTAATCCTAATATAAATATTTTATTGCTTAAGTATGTGAATCTTAATTACAAGCTTCATAAGGGCAGGGACTGTGTCTCTCTTATTGACCAGCATATTCCAGTAGCTGGCACTATGTTAACCAGTGAGCAATATGTTTTATTTGAACTAAAGGAAGAGAAAGTTATTTTACTTTATCAGTTATCTAAGTGGGTTTCAGTCTTAATACTTTCTAAATCATATGTTTATGAAAGTTCTATTATTATAACTTACCTCAGGGTCAAATGAAGTAATAAATTACATTAACATTTACTGAGTATTTGCTATGTGCCAGACATTGTATAAAATGATGTAGAGGATATAAAGAAGTATAAGGTGTAAGGAATTTAGAATACAATGGAAAAGATAACTGTTCATAGAAACATAACAGAAGTATAAGTCAGAATGCAAAGGGGTGGTTCAGGGAATAAGTGTTACAGGAGTTCAAAAGTGGTAGAGGTCTTCTCTGTTTTTTGTTGGTTTTGTTTTTTACATCCTTTTAAAAATGTGAAAACCATTCTTAGTTTACAGGGTTACAAAAATAGACTAAAAGCTAGATTTGGCAGTAGTTTGTCCATTCCTGCCTTAGTTGATTTGTCAGTTGACCAAGGCGCTCTTTGTTTAGTTTGTTCATTTCAGGAATCATAAAGCCAACTTTTTTTCCTGACACAAGGTAAAGACATTTTGTAGCCCAACATCTGAATATACAAAGTATCTTTAGGTTCAACTAACTAATTCTGTAGTTTTTCCTTTAATTCAGGTCAATTCCCTTCTTCAAAATCAATATTTCTGATTTCTTCTCCTGCTCTTTCCTCTCCCTCTTGGAATACATTTATAAAAATTTTTCTGTGCATTAATTGATAAGCAGCATAGTCTAAAACATAGCTAGTTGAATATTCAAGATGTATCGTGTACATAAAGAATGTGTCTGGTTGTTATGTTTTAAGCTTTTGGAAATAGAGAAGGAGTGATTCTGTAAAGGACACTTGATACACTTCAACCTGTAGTACATTTTTTTTTTTTTTTTTTTTGAGACAGAGTCTCACTGTGTTGCCCGGGCTAGAGTGCCGTGGTGTCATCCTAGCTCATAGCAACCTCAAACTCCTGGGCTCAAGCGATCCTCCTGCCTCAGCCTCCCGAGTAGCTGGGACTATAGGCATGCGCCACCATGCCCGGCTAATTTTTTCTATGTATTTTTAGTTGTCCAATTAATTTCTCTCTAATTTTAGTAGAGACGGGGTCTCGCTCTTGCTCAGGCTGGTTTCGAACTCCTGAGCTCAAACAATCCGCCTGCCTCGGCCTCCCAGAGAGCTAGGATTACAGGCGTGAGCCACCGCGCCCGGCCTGTAGTACATTTTAAATGCTGACTTTGTACCTTCACTGTGTCTCACTTCTGGTACTGTGATACCATAGGACATTTAGGACTTAACTGTGTCTCAGTGATTCTTCTTTAATATGGCAAAGCTCCAACTCACTGACTCATGCTTTTTAAAAGATTTTGAGAAAAAATTTAGTGTCCACTTTGATCATCTATCATAGTTATCAGACTTTTGACTGTATCAGAAAGTCAAATTTGAACCCTATCAAGATGTTCAGTAGATTGTTCTATGTGCTTTGAGGTTAATTTTAAAGAAATAGCTTAAAGATTTTTGAGTAGTGACCCTATCTTTGAAATAAATGCTAGATCATCTTAAAATGATTGTGTTGAAATAAACTACATATACAATTTCTGTGTATAAGTGATAGAAACTACTTGAGAATAAACCATTTTAAAGCATTCAAGGAGTGTTGGAAATGTCTATTTATATAGGAACAATATATTAGTTCTGTGTTCATTAGAATGTGAGCTCCTTGAGAGCAGGGCTTTTTGTCTGTTTTGTTTACTACCGTATCCATAGTACTAAACCATGCCTGGCACATAGGAGGTATTCAGTAAATACTTGTTTTATGAATGAATGTATGATAATTATCCATTAGTAAATATAATTATTTTTAAATTGTACTATGTATGGTAATCTAATCCTAGTAACTAACTGTGTAAGCCTGAAAACAGTAAAGTTTGTTCTTTGAAAAATTTCCATCAGTAAGATTTTTGACTAAAACTGACTTTCCAATTAGTTTATCTTATTACAAATTCTACACAAATGTGTTATTTTATTATGCTTTACCATAATACCTGCCATTTTTATTTTTCTTTCTCTAGCTATTTTGTTTGAATGTGTGCATACAATCTATTCTATTTATCCTAAATCTGAATTACTTGAGAAGGCTGCCAAGTGCATTGGAAAATTTGTTCTATCACCTAAAATAAATCTCAAATATTTAGGTAAGATGATTAGTTCTTTTGACAGAAATTACAGAGAGAGCTTTTGAAATTTGCTGGGTAGTTGTTTCAATTCACTTTGCGTAATAATGTAATCTTTTTTTCTAGGACTGAAGGCTCTTACCTATGTTATTCAACAGGATCCTACTCTGGCTCTTCAACATCAGATGACAATAATTGAATGTTTAGATCATCCTGATCCTATTATTAAAAGAGAGGTAAACTGGTATTTTGAATAATGTACATGAAATATAAAAAATTTTAAACTTTTTTTTGGTATTCTGGAGAGAGGTTTAAGTGGTAGGCAGAGTGCGTGTATGTGTGTGGGGGTGCATGCACGTATTTTAACTTTTGAATGCATTTAATTCTTTTTACTAAAGTTTAAGTAACTTTTGTTTTTTTTGGAGACAGAGTCTCACTCTGTTGCCTAAGCTAGAGTGCTGTGGTGTCAGCTTAGCTCACAGCAACCTCAAACTCCTGGGCTCATGTGATCGTCCTGTCTCAGCCTCCCAAGTAGCTGGGACTACAGGCACGTACCACCATGCCCGGCTAATTTTTTTTTTTCTATTTTTAGTAGAGACAGGGTCTTGCTCATGCCCAGGCTGGTCTTGAACTCCTGAACTCAAGCAATCCTCCCACCTTGGCCTCCCAGAGTGCTAGTATTACAGGTGTGAGCCTACCGTGCCCAGCCCTGAGTAACTTTTCCAAAAAGTATTGTGTCAGTGTCTACAGGAATGTTTTAAAATGATGAGTTGTAAGGATTGGATGTGGTTATCTATGTGAGTTCATTAATATCTTTTTGGTCTAAATATTGTACTAATAGGAAATCTGAATTTTTGTCCTAGGTCATCTTGTTAGTACAATTTGAGGTGTACTGCTGCTGTTATATTTAAAACTTAGGATGTAATTTATGATAATTAATATTTTTCCATTATTCTCTTTTACATCTATAAAATGAGATAACAAATTCCTTGTTAAATAGATAGGAATGTTGAAAAAATTAGTGAAGATATCCACAAAATGGTTTGAACTTGGAAGGAAAGGTATAATAATGTATTTAATTTGTTTTTCAACTTTTTCCTTTTGTAAAGTTGCTTCAGTATATAATTGGGTGTCTATGTAAATATTTCTGTTAACTCTTATATAACAAATACTCTATATGTTTGTTGAAAATGGTATATGGAACTTAGTTCAGAGTGAAAAGTTTTATTTCTGATTATAAAAATAATAAAGATAAAGAATCTATTAAACATGGAAATATTTTAAAAGTAATAAGTTAAAAATAGAGTTTATTGAGGGAATAATAATTGTAATTTTTGAAGATTATGAATTTTGATTTTAAAAGGCATTTTTGAAACAAATATTTTTGAGAAATTAGCCTTAATATATATATTTTTTAATTCATATTTTTAATCATCTGACAATTTTCACCTGTCTTGAATGAATGTGGGGGGCTTCCAGATGTACTAATTTCTGTGTATAGGCGTTGTAGAAAAATGAGAAGGATCTAAGGCACAGTAACAAATAACTATATGGCTGTATATGTGTCCTGATGTTCCTAATTCCCTTTTCACTTTAACACATACAGAGCATACATTTCCTTTGTGTAGTTGACTACTAAATGGAACAAGGTTGACTTGGAAACAGTTTTCTTTTTGCTATATGTAGTCCTTCCTTATCCACAGGATACACTCCAAGACCCCCAGTGGATACCTGAAACTGCGGATAGTACTGAACCAGTATGTTTATATATACCTGTGTATGTAAGGTTTCACTGAACCTTAAATGTACTATGTTTTCATATGATAACTGAGATAGCTACTAAGTGACTAATGAGCGAGTATCATATACAGTATGGATACCCTAGACAAAGGGATGATTCACTTCTCACTTGGGATGTGAGATTGGGGTGTGAGATTCCACTATGCTACTCAGAACGATGCATAATTTAAAACTCTTGAATTGTTAATTTTGGGATTTTTCATTTAATATTTTTGAACTGTGGTGGACTATGATAATGGAAACTGCAGAAAGTAAAGCTGTGGATGGCGGGGGACTTCTGTATTTAATTATTGGGTTCTCACTTAAAAATGATGGTCAAAGGGAAAATAGGGAACTTTTAAAATTATCAAGTTTGATCTATTACCTGCAGTGAAAAAAGTAGTTTGAATTCTTTGGGGAAGGTATTGAGTATCAGTGATGCCCAAAGAAGGCACTGAAGTACTGTCTCCTCAATGCTATTGTCACTTCTAACCTCTATCGGTAATGATACGGCAAGGACTTTGGTCCTTGGGTGTAGGGTGACCTATTGCTTGGAGTGGGATTCCCTTTTACCTGGTTTTATTACCACGCTGTCATGCAGGGAGAGAGAAGACAAGAAGGATCTACTAAAGCTGAACACTAAAGAACTCTAGCAATACAATTCCTAACACCTTACCCTTAACCCCTATTCAGTCCTAGAAATGCCAAATTTCAGGGTAGTCCATACAGTAGGAAATAAACTTGGTGTATATTATCTAACAATATATAACATATAGTTTGAAGTCCACAGGGAGTATGTCTGAAGCAGCTGCATAAATTGAAAGCTATTGATGGGGGGAGAACTTCGTATTTATATTAAATGGATTTAAATGGAGTCAAGCATTAACTAAAACAGTTTTTTTTTTTAAAAATCTTTTAAAATATGTTATCTTTGTACTTGAAGTCCTGACTGTAATGATTGAGAAATTAGAAAAAACCCTAAAGATATTTTGAACAAGTTTGACAAATAGGACATGTGAAAATTCTCTTACAGCTAATATTGCTGATCCTAAAACACCAGTAAATGTTGCTTTCTCCATATTGCCTTTCAACTCATATTGATTTCTAAGAGTTATATGTTTTAGAACCTTAATCTGGGGCCTTGGAAAGCAAGCCAAATGGGAGCTTACTCTGGTACTGGTTTTCCTTGAGGCAGCAAGAGGTGTATTCATCATCACTTAGAAAATAGCTATAAAACAATTCTTCCTTGATACCTGAGATTTGGAGTGTAGGTTTTGCTAAGCTTTGAAGTGCTTGAGCCATCGACCTTTGTCCATCCATTAGAAACCGTTTGCCCTCAATTGACAAACCCAATCAAGTGCTGTTTTCTGTTGTTTGGGTAGTGTGGGAAACATAGTTTGCAAGATTGGATTTATACACAGACCCATACACACGTATGTACACACATATACCCATAGGCATAAGTAGTGTACACTTAAGAGCTGTTATGTTTTTAGAAAATACATTGTAAAGCTTTTAACTTTTTAGTCCTTATATGCTCTGTCATATAGAAATGTCAGATTGTAATTATCTATCTCTATAGAAACCTTTTAGACTTTGGAATTGATCATAATTCATTTTTTGACAATAATTTTACCTTTCTTAAGCTTTATTTTAGCTAAAATTTGCATTTCTATTCACCTATTAACTGACTATCCAGTAGAGGTACATAAAAGTAGAAGAATCAACTATATGATAAACCTATATGTTAACTATATTTATTGGTGTTATGCATAGTTTTATAATACTGTTTTTAATTTCTTTTCTTTAAATAGACTCTGGAACTTCTTTACAGAATTACTAATGCACAGAATATAACAGTTATTGTCCAGAAAATGCTTGAATATTTACATCAGAGCAAAGAAGAATATGTCATTGTCAATTTGGTTGGTAAAATAGCTGAGCTGGCTGAGAAATATCCTTTGTCTGGACTGCAAATCTTAAAATACTTAGTTACACAGTGATTTTAAAATGATTGGTGTAGATATGATAACTTGCAAATTGAGTTGAGGGACCAGCAATAACTTCCATTCCTGATTTTCAAGCCTTTCTTGTCAAAAACTGGAATTTGTATAGACTTATTAGGGGATGGCTTGTTTCCTGGTTTCTTTCATTCGGGTAGTCAGTATTTTGAAGAAGATAGAAGAACCTCTGCCTGGTTCCTTTTTTAGTCTCTCTTCATCGTTGACTTTATTTCTTACCTGGTTTCTTTTGCAAGTAAAAGTTCTTGTTTTTTGGAGGGAGTGGATAGAGTGTATGTCTGTGTAGAGGGGGTCAGGATGCTACCGTTTATCCTTTATGCTATTGTTTATGCTGGAAGTTGTCACAGTGAACAGTTGGAAACTCCATTAATATGTCACATTTCTTTACATTTGTTTTTTAAAAGTCAGAGGAACTTTACAAGTCATAAGGATATTCCGTTCTTTTTAAAATGTCTGTTTAATACTAAGAAAGAATGAGTGAATAATGTTAATCAAATTGGAAATTGCTTAAGTATAGTTTTGTCCTAGACAGTGCTATAGTTCTGGTCAGCAGAATGACAGAATTTTAGAACTGATGAGAAACAGATTAGAAAAGATTTTGAACAACTTGTTCAAGTAGATACACTACGATGTTTAGCTCCCTTGAAGTGTATATAATTTTCCGTTGTTTGTCCCTAGTTAGCTGGTTCATTTCTATCAGTTATTTCACATTTGTTTATCAGATGCCTATTAAATGCAAGCCCGGTGCTAACGTGACATAAATTCAGTTTATTAAGTTTATTAAATAAGCTTTTACTAAGCACCTATTTTATATAAAATAGGGGTATGGAACAATTTATGGCAGGGGTTAAAGATAAAAATGCCACACTGGGATGAATTGGGGTTATTTTTGAAAAGGTTGCTATAGAAGGATAATTTTAATAAGTGAAATTTGGAAGCGTACTTGTTCTTAACACTGTGGACACATATGCTCCTGATAATGCGTGGTTTATTCAGACAATGAATGCTGTGTTTTCAGTGGGAGGAGATGTGATGCATCCTGATATTCCCAATAACTTTCTGAGATTGCTCGCGGAAGGTTGGTAGACTATTACATTCTGTAAAGTGAAGATTTTAAATTAAATGTTTTAATTACAGAGTCCTAGGAGAATTTAGTGGAAATTAAAATGGTATATCAATTTCTTTATAGGTTTTGATGATGAAACAGAAGATCAGCAATTAAGACTCTATGCAGTTCAATCTTATCTCACTTTATTAGATGTAGAAAATGTGTTCTATCCACAGAGATTTCTTCAAGTTATGAGTTGGGTAAGCAAAGTATATTAAATCATAAATTTATAACATTGTTTTTTATGGAAACCAAATTTTAACATGTTTTCTTTAGAAATCAGTTCTAATCAGTTACCTCCTTCAGCTGTCAGTTTTCTTTTCCAGTGGCTACCTTCTATCACTTGACTATTGACTTGTCCACTTTTTTACTTTGCTGTGTCACTTGTCTAGTCTTTTAAATATGGGTATTTGTTATCTTTTTGCATTTACAATGTGCTTGTTTTGTTTTTTATGTAAGTTCATGTTTGAATATGTGAGTATTCATTTGTGTGTGCTATATTAATTTTCTTATGCTGCGTAACAATGTTACCACAAACTCAGTGGCTTAAAACAACACAAATTTATTATCTCACAGCTTCTGTGGGTCAGGATTTCAGGAATGGCTTAGCTGGGTTCTCTGTTTAGAGTCTCACGGGGTTGCCGTCAAGGTGTTGGCTGGAGCTGCTGTCTTATCTGAAGCATGACTGGTAAGGGATCCACTTCTAAGTTCATGTGTGGTTGTTGTTAGAATTCATTTTCTTGTGGCTGAATTTTTGTCACTGAGGGTTTCACTTTCATACTGTCAAGTGTAGGATGCCCTTCACTGCCTTCAATTTCTTGCCATGTAGGCCTCCCAACATGGCCACTTGCTTCAACATAGCCAGTAAAGAAGATCAGTTCTTTTCAAGGCAAAGATGACAATTTTATGTCGTATAATCACATGTCATTGCATACAGCCCATCACCTTTGTGTATTCTTTCTCATATACATGGGTGAGTGTTTCTTTAGGAGACATTTAGGGAAGTGCAACTATTGGGTCATAGAATACACACATTTTAATATTTTGTATTATTGCTAAATGTTAGCATGTTAAACTTAAATTTTCCCCAGATTTTGTTTACAAATTTTTTTCTCATATAATAAGTATCCCAATACTTTTTTTTTTTTCTTTTATTTATTTTAAGTTTTTTTTTTTTAGAGACAGGGTCCCACTCTGTTGCCCAGGCTAGAATACAGTGACACCATCAAAGCTCACTACAACCTCAAACTCCTGGGCTCAAGCGGTCCTCCTGCCTTAGCCTCTGAAGTAGCTGGGACTACAGGTGCACAGCACCACACCTGGCTAATTTTTTTATTTTGTAGAGACAGTTTCTTGCTATGTTGCCCAGGCTGGTCTCAAGCTCCTGGCCTCAAGGGATCTTCTTGCCTCAGCCTGTTAAAGTGCTAGGAATACAAGTGTGAGCTTTCTGCACTTGGCCAAATATCCCTGTGCTTTTCATTTAGCTTCCCAGTTAATATATTTAACTAAATTTGCTTTACTATATCTGTATCTATATGTATATCTAGGTCTACAGTTTTTTTGCTAAGCCATTTAGAATTGGAATCATGATTACTTCACCCATAAGAAATTCAACATGAATCTCCTGTGAATGACATTATTCTAAATAACCATAAACCATTACTGTACCTAAGAAATGTAACATTAATTCATTAATATCACCTAATATACTCAGATTTATCCATTTGTCCCAAAAAATGGCTTTTATGATTTTTTTTTCCCTTTTCAATCCCAGATCTGGTCAAGGTTCACAAATTGCATTTAGTTATGTCTCTTTAGCTTCTTTTAATTTACAGTAACCCCTGGTTTCTTTTTGGTTTTATGACATTGATTTTCTTGGATGAACAGTGTTGGCTTATAGAAAGTCCTACAGTCTGGATTTGTCTGATTATCTCTGTTCAGGTTAAACATTTTTAGCAAGAATATTACGTAGGCAATGTTGTGTACTTCCCACTGCATCATATCAGGATGCATATGATGTCAGTTCATGCACTTATTGGTGATTGTAAGTTTCTATGTTTGGGTTAAGATGGGGACCTCCAGATCTCTCCATTGTAAAGGTACCCTTTCTCCTTCAGAATTTATAACTAATCTGTGACGTGATTCTGTGAGGCTGTGTGAGTATCTTGTCCTCAACTATCTTTCACTAATGGTTTTAGCATTGCCAGTCCTTCCTGAATTGGTTATTGTGTTTAGTGGCCATTAGTTTTTTCTGTGCATGAATGCGGCATGTCACTCCATTTATTTAGATTGTCTTTTATTCCTTTCTACAGCATACAAATCCTATACAGTAGTCCCCCCTTATTTGAAGTTTCGCTTTCTGAGTTTTCAGTTACCTGTGGCCAGCTACAGTCTGAAAATATTAAATGGAAAATTCCAGAAATCAGCAATTCATAAGTTTTAAAATGTGTGTCGTTCTGAGTAGCATGGTAAAATCTTAAGTCATCCTACTTTATCCTGCTCTATCCTACCTGGGACATGAATCATCCCTTTGTCCAGGGTATCCACACTGTATATGCTTCCTGCTCTTTAGTCACTTAATAGCCATCTAGATTATCCGATTGACTGTAGCAATATCACAGCGCTTGTGTTCATATGCACTTTATTTTACTTAATAATGGCCCCAAAGTGTAAGAGTTGTGATGCTGACAATTCAGTTATGCCAAGAGGAAAATGCTTCCTTTAAGTGAAAAGATGAAAGTTCTCAATTTAAATGGAAAGAAAAAAATTGTATGCTGAGGTTGTTAAGATCTACAGTAAGAAGGGATCTTCTAACTGTGAAATTGTGAAGAAGGAAAAAGAAATTCCTGTTGGTTTTGGTGGTGCACGTTAAACTGCAAAAGTTACAGTCACAATGCATGATAAGTTCTTAGTTAAGATGGAAAAGGCCATAAATTTGTGGGTGGAAAACATGTTCTGATTGACAGCAATTGGGTTTGGTACTGTCTGTGGTCTCAGGCATCCACACAGTTCCTCAAACCAATCCCCTGTAAATATGGAGGGCTGATTGTATATATACAAATACAACAGATTTTTGTATTTTGGTCTTGTATCCTGTAGTCTTGCTGAACTATTATAACTTAATAGTTCTATGAGTTTTTTGGGTAAATTTCTTGAGACCTTGTTAAGAATTTTTGTATCTATGTTCATGAGAGATATTGGTCCGTAGTTTCCATTTTTTGGTACTATAGTTTTGGTATCAAGGTCATACTAGCTTCATAAAATGATTTGGGAGAATGCTTTCCTATTTTATTTTCTGGAAGAGGTCGTATAAAATTGCTGTTAATTCCTGCTTTAAAAATTTGTTAGAATTTTCCAGTGAAACCATCTGGACCTGGAGATTTCTTTTTTGGGAGTTTTAAAATTACAAATTCAATTTTCTTAAAGAAAAATTTCTTAACTGAATTTTCATTCAGTAGTTCAATGTATTTTTTTTATTTTCCATGAGACTTCATCTTTGAGTCATGGATTGTTTAGGAGAATGTTGCTTAGTTTTCAAGTATTTGGATAATTTCCTGTTATCTTACTTTCTTTCTTTAATTATTTTTTGAGACAGAGTCTTACTCTGTCACCCAGGCTAGAGTGCAATATCATAGCTCACTACAACCTCAAACTCCTTGGCTCAAGGGATCCTCCTTCCTTAGCCTCCCGGGTAGCTGGGGCTACAGGCACATGCCATAATACCTGGCTAAATTTAAAAATTTTTTATAGAGATGGGGTCTTGCAATGGTTGCCAAGGCTGGTTTCAAACTCTTGGCCTCAATCAAGCCTCCTGCCTCAGTTTCCCTTACAGGCATGAGCCACCACCCCGGCTCCCTGTTATCTTTCCATTACTGATTTCTAGTTTGATTTTATTATGGACAGAAAAAAATACTATTTATGATTTCAGTTCTTTTAAATTTGTCGAGGTTTATGTTATGGTTCAAGATATGGTCTATCTTGGTATATGTTCTGTGGGTGCTTGAAAAGAATATGTATTTTGCTATTGTTGGATGGTATATTCTATAAATGTCAGTTAAATTCTATTGGTAGTGTTGAGTTCTCCTTCTTGCTGATTCTCTATCTAGTTGTTCTATTAATTGTTAAGAGAAAGGTTGAGATCTCTGACTCTATGGACTCCACTGACACTGTGAGGGGGTGGCCTCATTATTGCTGAGCAGTGGTGAAAGTCCTGACCCTACGAGGCCTCCACTGATACACCCCAGCAGAGAAGGGCAGGGGGTACCTCAATACTCCTGGGTGGAAGTGAAGGGCAGGCTTCCTACGTGGTCTCCACTGACACTGTAGGGGATTAGGCCTCTCTATAGCTTGGTGAGGATGAAAGTCTTGACTCCCCATTTGGCCTTCTCAGTCATCACCATGGTAGGGAAGTTGGGATACCTCTTATAGCCAGTGAGGATGGAAGTCTTGGCTCTCTACTCTGCCTTTGCTTGTGTGAGTGGGGCTGCAAAGTTTTCTGTGTGGTGGCTTGGCTGAAGTAGAAGGGTTATTGTCTAAAAGTCTTTCTGGTTTATTGACTAGAGGGTGGGCTTTTCTTGGGGCTTGTTTTCTGTGCCCATTGGTGTTTCCAGGTTGCTGGCCCTCCCATACCTAGTCTGAGGTATATGAGACAACAGATAATCCATTGTTCCTTAGGTCCTTAGGGATCTGCCACCTTTTCTCTGCCTTTCAAAGTCTTTTTATATGTGTTTTCTATATAATGTCAAGGGTTTTTATGGGTACATAGTAGGAAGAATAGGGATTAACATGTCTACTTCATCTTCCCAGAAGAAGTCCGTTAACCACTGATTTTTTTTTTTTTTTTGAGACAGAGTCTCGCTCTGTTGCCTGGGCTAGAGTGCCGTGGCATCAGCCTAGCTCACAGCAACCTCAAATTCCTGGACTCAAGCGATCCTTCTGCCTTAGCTTCCCAAGTAGCTGGGACCACAGGCATGCGCCACCATGCCTGGCTAATTTTTTCTATATATTTTTAGTTGTCCAGCCAATTTCTTTCTATTTTTAGTAGAGACGGGGTCTTGCTCTTGCTCAGGCTGGTCTCGAACTCCCGAGCTCAAACGATCCTCCCGCCTTGGCCTCCCAAACCATGGATTTTTGAGCTGGAATTTATGTTATGTACTCTTCTGGAGCTACCTTCTATCTATCAAACTACTCTAAAAATTATTTTTTTATTTAAGGATTGAATTCATTTGCTTCTATTTCTTTTTGCTCCTCTCTCTTTATTATTATTAGCTATAAATTTTCCCTTTCCTATCACCTCACCTCCCTCTTTGCTTGCCAGTGCCAATACTACACCAAAGAAATGAAAATATTCCATAAATACCATTTTGGAAAAATTTCACATTTCCTGAATTATCAGTTTATTAATGATTCTTTGACCAATAGGTTTTTATGTCACCTAAATTAGATGTAAGAAAAAAGATATGTAACATAGATCAGTTTCCTTAAAGTCTGTTCTGTAGACCATCTACATCAGAATTGGATGATGCTTATTCAAAATGTATATCCTTGGGGACCACAGATATAATAAATCCGAAAGAATATTTGGGGAAAGACCTTGGAAATCTCTCTTTTTTTTTAGACAGTGTCTCACTCTGTTGCCTGGGCTAGAGTACAGTGGTGTCATCATGGCTCACTGCATCCTCAAACTCCAGGGCTCAAGCGATCCTCCTGCCTCAGCCTCCTGAGTAGCTGGGACTACAGGTGTGCACAGCCACACATGGCTAATTTTTCTATTTTTGTAGAGACAGGATCTCGATATGTTCTCAGGTTGGTCTCAAACTCCTGGCCTGAAGCAGTCCTCCTGCCTTGACCTCCCAAAGTGCTAGGATTACAGCACTTTGAGCTGTGAGCTACCACACCTGGCTGAAATGTGTATTTTGATGAAACACCTCAGGTATCTCTTAGCTTGTGAGAATCATCATTTAAATATTTTTTGGAAAATAATGACAGACTGTGAAAGTGCTTGTAAAAACCAACAACTGAGCCAGGTGTGGTGGCTCATACCTATAATCCCAGCACTTTGGGAGGCCAAGGTGAGAGGATTGCTTGAGGCCAGGAGTTTGAGACCGGCCTGGGCAACATGGTGAGACCCTGTTTCTCCAAAAAATTTAAAAATTATCTGGGCACAATGGCACGTGTTGGTAGTCCTAGTTACCTGGGAGGCTGAGGTGGGAGCATCAGTTGAGCCCAGGAGTTTCAGGTTACATGAGCTATAATTAGACTACTGCACTCCAGCCTGGGCAGCAGAGTGAGACCTTGTCTCTTAAAAAAAAAAAAAAAAAAAAAAAGGCCTAAGAGCTTAACTAACAACCAACTCCCAAAGTTCAGAAGAAAGCTAATTCGTAAAGGTATGTTGCTTATGTATTGTTAATGACAAAGACGTAGAAAACCTTTTTGTGTTGAGTTTCAATTCTTGGTATAATTTTGAACCTAAAATATACCATTGTATCTTTAATAATTTCTTCACCATGCATGTTTAATCTAGATTAAATTGACTCTAGCAGTAGGCACTTTGTTTAGATTTCTGAGTATATTTTATTGTATAACTTGATATTTTTATATAAACATCTCTTTGTTTTGCTCATAGGTGTTAGGGGAGTATTCCTACCTCTTAGATAAGGAAACTCCAGAGGAAGTCATAACCAAGCTCTACAAGTTACTTATGAATGACTCCATTTCTTCAGAAACAAAAACCTGGTTAATTGCTGCTGTGACCAAGTTGACACCCCAAGCACGCTCTTCTAATATAGTTGAGAGGTTAATCCAGGAATTTACCATTTCTTTGGATACTTGTATGAGACAGCATGCATTTGAATTAAAACATTTGCATGAGAATGTGGAACTTATGAAGAACTTGCTTCCAGTTGATAAGAGTTGTGAAGACATAGTGGTAAGACATCTGTGTTTCAGCTTTTTAAAAATTGCATTGTCTTTAAACATAGAGTAATTCTGTTTTTTTGAGACAGAGTCTCACTCTGTTGCCCTGAGTAGAGTGCCATGGTGTCAGCCTACCTCACAGCAGCCTCAAACTCCTGGGCTCAAGCGATCCTCTTGCCTCAGCCTCCAGAGTAGCTGGGACTACAGGCGCGTGCCAAGATACCTGGCCAATTTTTTCTATTTTTAGTGGAGATGAGGTCTTGCTCTTGCCCAGGCTGATCTCGAACTCCTGGGCTCAAGTGACCCTCCTGCCTTGGCCTCCCAGAGTGCTAGGATTACAGGCATGAGCCACCATGCCCAGGCCATAGAGTAATTCTTGTATTTGTGATATATTAGGAATGTGTCAAAATATGGTTTTCGTACCATTTAAGGTGAAACTTGAAGTTTTTCTCACATTGGTATGTCAGAGAATTTGAGAGCTACTAATCAGTACCGATTCTAAATAGGAGGAGAAGAATGTCTCTTCCGGAGAGCTGCAGTGAAGATATTTATATCCTGTGACAATCTCTTTTAATATATAATAATTCAGGAATTTATTTTATTTATTCTTTATTTATTGACTTTAAAAAATAGATACATAATAATTATACATATTTATGGGGTACATGGGATATTTGAGACATACGTACAATATGTAATAATCAAATCAGGGTATTTAGGCTATCCATCACCTCAAACATTTATCGTTTCTTTGTGCTGGGAACATTTCAAATCTTCTAGCTGTTTTGAAATATACAATAAATTATTAACTATAGTCACCCTACTGTGCTGTCAAACACTAGGACTTATTCCTTCTATCTAACTATATTTCTAAACATTAACCAACCTCTTGTCATCCCTGCCCACCTCCCCACTCCCCTCCCCAGCCTTGGGTAACCGTTCTATTCTCTTTCTCCATGAGATCAATTTTTTTAGCTCTCACATATGAGTGAGAACGTACAATATTTGTCTTTCTTTGCTTTGCTTCTTTCACTTAACATAATGACCTCCAGTTCTATCCATGTTGCCACAAGTAACAGGATTTCATTCTTTTTTATGGCTGAATGGTATTCCATTGTGTATATGTGCCACGTTCTCTTTATCCATTCATCCATTGATTGACACTTACATTGATTCCATATCTTGGCTGTTGTGAACAGTGCTGCAGTAAATATGAGGGTGCAGGTATCCTTTTGAAATACTGATTGCTGGATCATATGGTATTTCTATTTTTAGTTTTTTGAGAAACCTCCATATAGTTTTTCATTATGACTGTATTAATTTACAACCAACAATATATAAGAGTTCTCTTTTTCTGCATCCTTGCCATCATTTGTTTTTGTTGTTTTGATAATAGCCATTCTAACTGGACTGAGATGATATCTCATTGTGCTTTTGATTTGCATTTCCTTGATAATTAGTGATGTTGAGCATTTTTTCATGTATTTCTTGGCCTTCACTTTAGAGAAATGTCTATTTAGATCCTTTGCCCACTTTTTAATGGGATTATTTGATTTTTTTGCTGTTGAGTTCCTTGTATATGCTGGATATTAGTCCCCTGTTGAATGAATAGTTTGCAAATATTTTATTCTTGCCTTGTAGTTTTTCCCCTTCTCTCATCATCCTATTTGATTGTATCATTCCATTCTCTTCTGGTCTGTACAGTTTCTGCTGAGAAATCCACTGTTAGTCTGATGGGGATTCCCTTATATATGACTTGCCACTTTTCTCTTGCAGATTTTAGACTTTTCTTTTTGTCTTTGACTTTTGACAGTTTGACCATACTGTGCCTCAGAGAAGACCTTTTCAGATTGAGTGTATTGGTGATCTTTGCACTTCTTCTATTCGGATGTCTATATCTCTCGTGAGACTTGGGAATTTTTCAGCTAGTATTTCATTAAATAGGTTTTTCTGTGCCTTTACCCATTTTTTTCCTTTTGGAACTCTCCAAATTTGAATTTGTTTGCTTTATGGTATCCCATATGTCATATAGGCCTTCTTCATTGCTTTTTATTCTGTATTCTTTTTTTTTTTTTTTTGTTGACTGGGTTATTTCAAAAGAACTGTCTTCAAATTCAGATATCTTTTGTTCAGCTTGATCTAGTTTATTGTTGAAGCTCTAGATTGTATTTTTAATTTCATTCATTGAATTCTTCAGTTCCAGGATTTCTGTTTGAGTCTTTTTATG